TATTTTTTTGTTTTGTTTTGTTTTTTTTCCAGTACCGGGAATTGAACTTACGACCTTGCACTTGCCAGGCAGGTGCCGTGCCACTGAGCTAAATCCCCAGGCCCTAGTGGACTCATTGAAATTGCCTTCCTCCTAGTCTTATTATAAAAGATAAGTGTTTAAGGAGACAGAAATGCTAATTGTCCTGATTTGATCATTACTTATTGTGTACATGTATCAAATTGTCACACTGTGCCCTCTAAATTTGTACTTTTTTTTTTTTGTCTTTTTTGAGACAGCATCTTGCTATGCAGCTCAGGCGTGCCTCCAACTCCCAACGATCCTCCTGCCTCCGCCTCCCGAGTGCTGGGATTACAGGCATGCGCCACCACACCAGGCCCTAAATGTGTGCAATTACTATGCTATTAAAAATAAAAATTTTGGGGGCTGGGGATTTAGCTCAGAGGCAAAGCGCCTGCCTGGCAAGTGCAAGGTTGTGAGTTCGGTTCCCGGTACTGGAGAAAAACCAAAAAAATAAAAAAATAAAAATTTTCACCAGACACACAGCCTCAGGAGGCTGAGGCAGGAGGATCATTGCGATTTCATGGCCAGCCTGGGTACAAAGTGAGTTCAAGACCAGTCTGAACTGCATAGTGAGACCCTGTCTCAAAAAGACAGACAGACAGACAGACAGAAAGAAAACAACAAAAAACTTATTTTAGCAATTTTCCCCAGAAGGCTAGGGATGTGGCTCACAGTTGTAGAGTGCTTGCCTAGGTTGTATGAGCTGGATCAATCCCTGATACTGTATCATAAAAAACAGTTAAAAACATATGTACAAAAAACCACACAAACATATGTACAGCTGGATGTGTGGTGCACACTTGTAATCCCAGCACTCAGGAGGCTGAGGCAGGAGGATCTCTCTGAGTTCAAGGCCAGCCTGGTCTACATAGTGAATTCGAGGCACTACAGTGTGAGACTCTGCCTCTAAAAAATAAAATAAAATAAAAAGCAAAGTATATGTACCACCAGAGATAATTGTATAGTGAACCTCTAGATAATCACCTCGCTTCAGCAGATATGGCCAGGCCCTTTCCTCTGTCATCTTGTCTGCCTCCCACCAGATTATTTAGAAGTAAATCACAGAGATGAGATTATTTCACCCATAAATATTTCCATATTTATCCCTAAGAGCTCTTTAAAAAATACAACTACGTGCCATAGCTCTCTAACAAATTAACAATTTTGTTTTATTTTTTAAAGGAGGAGTGTTTATTTTGGCTCATAATAAAAAAAAATTAGAAAAAAGAAATAAACCAGATATTGTGGTACACACCTGTGATCCTAACATTCTGGGAGGCTGAAGCAGGAGAATCAAAAGTACAACCCCAGCCTGGGGAACTTAGTGATTTAGCAAGACCTTGTCTCACAGTTAAAAATAAAAAAGGTTGCTGGGGATTTAGCTCAGCGGCACAGCGCCTGCCTGGCAAGCGCAAGATCGTGAGTTCGATTCCCGGTACCGGAAAAAAAAAACAAACAAAAAAAGGTCTAGGGATGTAGCTTAGTGCAAAGGCTCTGAGTTTAATCACCACTACCATACACACACAATTTCTTAGCATTATGAAATATTGAAACATTAAATATTTCTAATTCTCTTTGACATTTCATATATATATATATTTTTTTTTAATTTTTATTTTTTTCTTTGACCCAATCCAAATAAAGCCTATGTGATACATTTGGTTATCATGGCTCTTAAATCTCTAATCATGGATAGCCCCTGCATCTTTTCTTATTCCCCTATAATTTATTTTGAAAAAAATGTTTTTTTTTTTAAACACTGTAGTTTTACAGAGTCTGATTTTGCTGATGACATCCCTAGGGTTCCTTTTAAAGTACTTCTTTTTTTTTTTGCTTTGTTTTTTTTGTTGTTGTTGTTGTTTTGAGACAGGGTCTCGCTGTGTAGTCAGGCTTCCTCCTGCCTCAGCCTCCCCAGTGTGCAGCACCACGCCCAGCATTTCTTAGTCTTCCTTTCCTGTGGTTTGTAGTAAATTGATAGTTAGGTCTAGGTGGAAAGATAGCTGATCAGGTTCCAGTATCTTTTTATCTTCTTTGTGTGTACGTGCATGTGTGTGTATGGTACTACAGCTTGAACTCAGGGCCTACAATATCCTTAGGCCAGTGCTGACTAATCTATATCCTCAGCTCTGTTTCTACTCTGAGATAGGAGTTTTTCAGAAGTTTCATGGTTATACTTTGATTTCTTGCTTAATTACATTGTAGTCATGGGGCTGGGGATATAGCTCAGTGGCATAAGCGCCTGCCTGCGAAGCGCAAGGTTGTGAGTTTGATCCCTGGTACTGCAAAAAAAAAAAAACAAAATAAACATTGTAGTCAGAAGCCGGGTGTGGTGGCGCACGCCTGTAATCCCAGCACTCCGGAGGCTGAGACAGGAGAATCGTTGCAAGTTCAAGACCAGCCTGGGCTACAAAGTGAGCTCAAGGCCAGCCTGAACTGCTTAGGGAGACCTTGTCTCAAAAAGACAGAAAACAAAACAATACATTGTAGTCAGAGAAAATGCACCATTTAATTTGAGTACTTTTATTTTTTGTTGTTGCTATTTGTTTGTTTGTTTCTGGTACCGGGAATCGAACTCGCGACCTCGCACTTGCCAGGCAGGCGCTGTGCTGCTCAGCTAAATCCCCGGCCCCCTAATTTGAGTACTTTTAAACTAATTGTATGAGGAAACAGAAAAAAAGAATTAAAACATGTTATGTACATGTACCAGTTCCCCGTGAGGAGTGTAATAATCGTGTACTGTAAACATATTCCAATAAAATTTTTTTTTGGTTGTCATCCCCCCGCTCCCCACCCCGTACCGGGAATCAAACTCACAACCTCGGGCTTGCCAGGCAGGCACTGTGCCACTGAGCTAAATCCCCAGCCCCACCAATAAAATTTTAAAACTCTAAACTATAAAAAAAATAAATTTAGTGTATAGTCTGATATACATCAATTTCTGTGAATGTTTGTGCTTAAAGAGAACATGTAGTAAAATGTTGGCTTGTATGTAGTCTGTATGTATTTTAGGTCACGCTTGTTTTGGTATTTTTGGTCCCGGAAATCGAACTCAGGACCTTGTGCTTGCCAGGCAGGCCCTCGTGCCGCTGGGCTACATCCCCCGCCCCCATGCCTGCTAATTTGTGCTGCTCAAATCATTTTTACCCTGTTGATTTCCCTCCTGCTGTAATTGTGGGTTTGTGTATTACTCCTTAATAGTCTTTCAGTTTATTCCTTCTTGTACTGTCAGTTATTGTGCTTTGTATCTTTGGGGTATTTATTCATTTATTCCACAAATATTTATTAAGCCCTTCGCTGCCAGGCACTGCTCTGATTGCTAGGGGTATTTCAGTGCACGAAACAGACAAAAGTCGCTGCTGTAAGTTAGGAGAGAAAGACAATAGCAAAATAAAGAATGCCACGCCGTCTTACAATTAACTTGCTCACAAATTGAACCTTTTAACAGAGAAACGATGTTCTCTAGGAGTTGGTTAAAGTCTCTTGTGTGATATAACAGCTTTCATTGAGTTATTGTTTGTCATAACTTTTCGTTCCCTTCCTTTATCTCTCCAGTGTCCTTACGGGGCTGTGTTTCCCTCTGTCTCCCACGTGCCCACCTCGCCCTCTACTTGTGTTTTGTTTTGGTTTTCCTTCTCTTTCTTATGTTTTAAATGTGTTCTCTAAACAGCATATTGTAATTATTCTTTTCATTTTAACCAGTGTGACGGTGTCTTTAAGTGAAGTGCGAGTCTAGCCAGCTTTTAACATTCGTGAATTTTTTGTGTGAACATATGTTTTCATTTCTCTTGGTACAGTAGATGCCAAAAAGAATTGGTTAATCGTACGGTATTTCTTTGCATAACCTTGTGAGGAAGCGCTGGATTTTTTCCAAACCAGCAGCACATTTTGCAGTCCTGCCAGTGGTTCATGAAAGTTTCAAGGCCATGAAGAGTACACTTTTTTTTTTTTATCTTTTTGAGACAGGGTCTCGCTGTGCAGTTCAGGCTGGCCTTGAGCTCACCTTGTAGCACAGGCTGGTCTCGAACTCACAACGATCCTTCTGCCTCAGCCTCCTGAGTGCTGGGATTACAGGCCTGCACCACGACGCCGGCTACTTACTCTCATTCTGAGTGATTCAAGGGCCTTAGAACTATGTGAAGTTGTTTTTTACCATATGGATGTATTTTTAAATAGATATGTATACATATAAATGTAATGTAGTTTTTTTTTTTTTATACCGGGAATCAAACTCAGGACCATGCACTTACAAGGTTGGCGCTTGTGCCGCTGAGCTGTATCCCCGGCTAAATGAAATATATATTGCCATATGTATATAAAGAAAAAAAATGAAACAAAAATTTGCTGATGACCTACGGTTAAACTGCCTGGGTTCTACTCCCATTTTTACCCCTGGTCAGCCTGAACAAATGCCTTAACTTCATCCAACCTGTTTCTTGAGCCCCAGTGTTGACACAGTAATCCCTCCCTCCCTGGGTCGTAGTTCATTTTTTTTTTTTGGGTGGAACCGGGAATCGAACTCAGGGCCTTGCGCTTGCCAGGCAGGCACTTGTGCCACTGAGCTATATCCCCAGCCCCAATAAATGACATGTTTTTTGTTGTTGTTGTTCTGGGACTTGAACTCAGGACCTTGCGCTTGCCAGGCAGGCACTTGTGCCACTGAGCTATATCCCCAGCCCCAATAAATGACATGTTTTTTGTTGTTGTTGTTCTGGGACTTGAACTCAGGACCTTGCGCTTGCCAGGCAGGTGCTTATGCCACTCTATATCCCTGGCCCTGCCTGGGTCTTTATGACAGTTAATGCGCTAATCTGTGTAAAGGGCCACATACGCAGTACACACAGTGCCTGACACACAGGAAGTGCTTAATAAAAGCCGTTCCAAGAACGAAAGCCAGTGAGGGCGGTAATTACGGTCTGCCCTCCTGTTCTGGCCTGCAGTTCCTCTGTGACGAGGGCGCGGGGATCTCCGGAGACTACATAGACCGAGTGGATGAGCCCCTGTCCTGCTCCTACGTGCTGACCGTGCGGACCCCTCGGCTGTGCGCGCACCCGCTCCTCCGGCCCTCGCCCAGCGCTGCGCCGCAGGCCATCCTCTGTCACCCCTCGCTGCAGCCAGAGGAGTACAAGGCCTACCTGCGGCAGCAGGAGCGGGAGGGTGAGCGAGGCGCAGAGCGAGGGGTGAGCGGGGGGCAGGCGGACGCAGGACCGGGCCCCTGTCCTACTCTCACGCTGTTTTTCAACAGACTCAAAACAACAGGAAGAGAAAATCACGGAGCAGCTACAAGACCTGGACTCCCCAGTGAGGAGCGAGACCAAGTCTGGGGCGCCGCCCCCCAAGAGAGAAGGTAGGCCCTGTCCTCACCCATGGCGTGGAGCTGGCCCTGCTTCCGCCCCTCTCATCTCGCTGTCCTGTCCTAACCGCTGGGGCTGGGCTGGAAGGTGCCGGGACCCCAGCCCCTGGGTAACGGCGGAGGGGATGGACTCCAGCCCGTCCGCGCCCGTCCTTTCCCCTCCTTTCACATCCCGTCCCGCCTTGGTCTCTCAGGTGTGAGCCCCGCCAAGGATGACAGTCAGGAATCAGACTTCTGGCAGATGCTTCGTGAGCCAGAGGACCAGGCCCCGGGCGGGGAGGAGGCGCAGGCAGAGGTGAGCGCCAGCGCCCCGGCCACTTCGCTGACGGGGCTAGGGGCAGGGACTGGTGGGCGCCTCGAGTGGGGTGCGCTTGAGGTGACCGGCACCTGTGGAGGGCCGCAAGACTGTCCCCAGAGCAACTGCCGGGAGACCACGGAGGGCGCGCGAGCTTCTGTGCTGAGCCTGCTCTTTCTCATCAGGAGCAGTACCTAAACCTCCAGGCTGCAGCAGATCCAGCTCCAGGCCCTCCAGACGGTGAGTGGATCCTTCATGTCTCCTTCACCGCGGAAATGTGCTTCAGGGCTGGCCGCCGCGGGGGTGGCCCAGAGCTGAACACTGGGGGCGCTCAGGCAGTCAGGCCCTGAGGAAATTCCTGCTCTTGTGCTTGGGATCGAATCCAGGGCCCTGTGCGTGGGAATCAGGTGCTCTACCCTAAGCCACATTCCTAGCCCTGGGGAATTTATTTTTACCTGAGTTATTGTCGTTGTAGACAGCAGCACTTTGAGGGAGGTAGTAGAACACCCAGGCTGCACCACTTACTACCTCCTACTCCCGGACAATCTCACTTACCCATAAAATGTGAATAATAAAGCTGGGTGTGGTAGCACATGCCTGTAATCCCAGCACTCGGGAGGCTGAGGCAGGAGGATGGCTGAAAGTTCGAGGCCAGCCTGGGCCACATAGTGGGTTCAAGGCCAACCTGAACTATGTAGCAAGAGCACCTCAGAAACAAACAGTAATAATCCCTATAGGAAGTTGTGAGATTAAATGAAAATGCATCTATAATTTATAGCAGTGCCAGTAACTTTTAGTAGACAATGGTTAGTATTTATGAGAGGGGTAGAACAGGATCCAGGGAAGAAAAGACCCCCCCCCAAAAAAAAAAAAAAAAAACACCTTAGCACCTTAGAATCTCTTTTGTAGTCCTAAAAGCTGGAGTTCTGTGGGGTTTTTTTTGGATTGGGACTGGAACTCAGGGTCTTGCACTTGCCAAGCAGGCACTTGTGCCGCTGAGCTACATCCCCAGCCCAGCTGGAGTTCTGTTTTTTGCCAAAAGAACCTTAGAGTGGACACTTAGCTCTTAGCACACAGCTCCCCCGTGAGCCACTTCCGGCAGGGCTTTCTGTCGCAGGGTGCGTGCTCCATCCGCCTTACCAGACGGGTAGCTCCTGAAGGCAGAGACCGTGCCCTCCTGGGTCTCCCTATGGCCTCTTCTTAGGAAGCAGAAGAGAACTGAAAGCACAACAGGTGCATGCCTGTTCTCGTCTCAGATTTTCAGAACAACGTGCAGGTCAAAGTCATTCGGAGTCCTTCAGACTTGATTCGATTGATAGAGGAGCTGAAAGGCGGAACCAAGAAGGTAGGCCCCGCTCGAGGGTTGGTGGCCCGGGACTCCCGGCTGACCCCGCCCTCCGCTGGCGGAGTCCCTTGCTTCCACTCGCCGCCCCTGTGTGCGCCCCACCGTCTGTGACTGTGAAACCCCAACACCGCCTGTCTGCTCCCGACCCGCCAGGGGAAGCCCAGCGCGGGCGCGGAGCAGCCCGGAGATGTAGCTGCGGAGGAGGGCCCTGCCCGGGAGCCGGAGGGGAAGGCAAAGGGTGACCCCGAGCGGCCGAGCGCGGGGGACGAAGCCGAGCGGGAGGAAGACGAAGAGGAAGAGGCGGATGAGCAGCAGCTGCTGGGCGAGTTCGAGAAGGAGCTGGAAGGGATCCTGCTCCCATCGGACCGCGAGCGGCTCCAGCGGCTGCGTTCCCAGCTGAAGGCTGGCGCGGAGCGGGAGCGGGAGCTGGAGAGCGCCACGCAGGAGGTGAGCGTGAGCGGCCGCGCCCGCCTGCGCCTCGCTCGCCCGCCCGCGTGCTGGGGCTCCGCCGACGTGAAGTGGGCGGGGAGGGAAGGGGATGGAGGCGGGGTGAGACCCAGACGTCCACCGCCACGCCAGGGGTGACCCGACGGCCTCCCCTGCCCAGAACCCTGACTCCACCCCGACTGGGGCGTTCCAGACGGAGAAGGAGCTGAACACGGACATGCTGAAGAAGGAGTCCGAGCGAGAGCGGGCGATACTGGCCCTGACGTCCACTGTCAACAAACTCATCAAAAGGCTGGAGGAAAATCAGAGTCGTGAGCTGGCGAAGAAGTACAGGAAAAGGAAGGCTGTCCCCAGAAAGCCTCTCCCAGCGCCTCACTCTGCAGGTGAGGACGGCAGGGCCAGAAGGAGCCGCAGGCTCAGTGTCTGTGTCCCTCTGTGGCGTCCTTCCCAGAGGGCACCGCGTTCCTCCATCCGGAGAGCACATCCTGTCCCTCCTCCTGAAGGAGCGCTGGCCTCACTGTCACCTTCTTCCTGCCACCGGCCTTCCTGTCTGGGGCACTCCCAGTTGTCCTTTGGGAAGGCAGCTTTTTGTGGTTTTTTGTTTGTTTGTTTGGGGTTTTTTTGGACTTTTTGACACAGGGTCTCGCTGTGCATTCTGGCTGGCCTTGAGCTCACTTTGTAGCCCTGGCTGGTCTCGAACTCGCAACGATCCTCCTGCCTCAGCCTCCCGAGTGCTGGGATGACAGGCGTGTGCCACCACACCTGGCATGGGAAGGCAGCTTTTCAAGCACATCTGTTGTGATCTTTGGTTTTTCCTGTGCTCCCCGTGCTTAGCACTCTGCCTGGCATATAGATACGGACTGAATGGTGATGAGCCTAAGTGCTGGGAACCACACATCTGTGACAGATGCAGCCATCAGCCGCTAGCACTTTGCCCTGGGAGAGGACCCAGCTGTCAGGTAGCCAGCCACACGAGCCACCAGCCTGAAGGCCCTTGAAGTCACTCCTCCTTGCATGCCTTTGTGTCCATTCCGCAGGCGTGGTTTCAGAGATTTCAAGTGGAACATTCCAGTTTCAAATATTTTTTTTTGGTCTTTTTGAGACAGGGCCTTGCTATGCAGTTCAGGCTGGCCTTGAGCTCACTTTGTAGCCCAGGCTGGTCTCAAACTCACAACGATCCTCCTGCCTCAGCCTCCCGAGTGCTGGGATTACAGGCGTGCGCCACCACGCCCGGCCTGTTCCAGTTTCAAATCTGTAAACGTTGAAAGGTCTTTAGAGTTACAGCATAAGGAGGACCAAACCAGTTTTCCAACCTACACCTTAAAACTTCTTTGTTGGTGCAGGTGGCCTAGTTACTGCTTTCGGAAAACAGCCGCTTCCTTATGGGTGCTGAGCAGAATTGCTGAGTGGCTACAGGAAGAGGCTGCAGTTAGGGGCAGAGGCGCTTTTTGTTTTGAGTCCCGGCTCACGTGTGTGTGTGTGTGTGTGTGTGTGTGTGTGTGTGTGTGTGTGGCGATGGAACGGCCACCCAAAGCCGTAGCACACCGCTGGCTCCGGGAGAGGTGAGCCCAGCGCCCCTCACTCTGGAGTCACGGCTCTGCTTTGTCTCCCTGTGTGTCTCCCCCTCCAAGAGGAGGACCCTGAACACAGAGTCCGGGTCCGGGTCACCAAGCTCCGTCACGGAGGCCCCAATCAGGATCTGACTGTCCTCGAGATGAAACGGGAAAACCCACAGCTGAAACAAATCGAGGGGCTGGTGAAAGAGCTGCTGGAGAGGGAGGGACTCACGGCCGAAGGTGGGCCCTGCAGGGCGGCTGGCCTCGGACGCGGAGGGCTGGGTCATGGTGGCCCGAGACCTCAGCTGAGACGGGGTGGGGGCAGGGGCCCGCCCGAGGCTCCCAGCCGCCCCTCCTCAGACCCACTCTGCTTCTTTCCAGGGAAGATTGAGATCAAAATTGTCCGCCCTGGGGCCGAGGGGCCGGAGGAGGACGGGCGATGGCTGACAGATGAGGACACGAAAAGCCTCAAGGAGATTTTCTTCAATATCTTGGTGAGGTGCCCTCCGGCCCTGCAGCCCTCCGCCCGAGCCTGGGAGCCTGCTGCAGTCCTCGCAGGGGCTCGGCCCAGCCCTGCAGCTGCCCAGCTGCGGTCGGAGCTGCCCCTGGGGAAGCACCCCATGGGGGCCGGCTCCTCCCTCTCCTTGCCTTCCCTCCAGGGAGGGCCAGTCCCAGGGCCTCCCTGGTCTTGAAGCGCCTGGCACTTCCCTTGGCCCCATGGCGGCACCTCTGGCTCACCCTCACCCTCCCGCCAGGTGCAGGGAGCTGAGGAGGCCCACAAAGAGCGCCAGCGGCAGAAAGACCTGGAGAGCAACTACCGCCGGGTGTGGGGCTCGAGAGACGGAGAGGGCCTGGGCGACCTGGACGAGTTTGACTTTTGAGATCCCACAGCGACATGTTCCTGAGCGGCCCTGCTCCTCCTCGCCTCACCTCCTGGCCCCTGAAGGCAAAACACCAGAGAACAGCAGAGCTCGACCCCTGCGGCCCGGCTCTGGGGAATGGAGGGCCTGGGGTCAGTGCTGCTGCAGCTGAGAGCCACCCGCAGACCCCCAGGCCGCGGCTTCTGCTCACCCTGGCTGTCCCCGCGTGCCCTTCCCTGTCAGTGTCCCCTCCCAAGCTGCCTCTTTCTTCGTCCTACCCAGAGACTCAGAAAGCCCCTGTGTGTGGGCAGGGCAGGGAGAGCACAGCCTGCCCGCCCTGCCCTGTGGGTGTTTGGAGGTGCTTTAGCCTCGCCCCTGGAATCACCTTGGGGTTTCCTTCTCCCTTTCCGCCCCACGGCCCGACAGTCTGCGCTCCGCGCTGAGGAGCCTCCACTTCTGTTGCTGAGGAAATGGAGACGGACGCACATCACTCCGGCCCAGCCCCAGCTAAGAGGGTGGGGCGCAGAAGCACCCGTATGTTCTTCAACAATCAGGTTTCTAAATAAAGAACTGGACCACCGACCCGACCGCCTTTCTGGGCAGGGGCAGGTGGGGCGCGCTCGGGAGGAGGTGTGCTCTTTCAGAGCGGAGGGCACACCGGTGGCAGACCCTGGACAGCTGAACACAGCCGCTGGCTCAGCAAGGCGTGCAAGTCCCCGGCGAGGGTACCGCCATCCCTCCTTTTCCTCGTCTGTCCGTCTCCAGTCCTTCCTCTTTATTTTAGGTCAAACTACTGCCGGGCAGGACTCGACCACTGACCTGCACCCCCAGCCCAGTTCATTGCGTGTCCACCACCCCTCCATGCCCTGAAAGCCAGAACGCACATGACAGCCCCACACCCGCGCATTGCCCCAGCGTCCTTGGCTGAGCTCTCCCTGCACCCCGTTCAGACTCCCTTGCCAGCCACACCCCATGCCCCCGCATTCTCCACTCCCCAGAAAAGAGCCATGTTCGGCTGTGCCCAGTGAGGACTGCTGCCCAGGTTCTGTCTGCCGAGGGCAGGCGGGGTCCCCCGACAGCCTTCCATCCTCGCCAGGCCCCTCTGGCTCCCCAGCTTGGAGGTGTGCAGCCTTCCTGAAGACTCCATTGGGTCACAAGACCAGGCCAAGGAAGGGGACAAAGGACACTGCTTATCTCCAAAAGGGGAAGCAAAGCAAGGGATTCGGTTGTTGATGTAGTGCTTATTGTGCACTGTGTTTAAATTGTTTGTTCTTATTTATTTTTGTGGCACTGGGGATTAAACTCAGGGCCTTTGCACTGAGCTACATCTCCAGTTTTTTTTTTTTGTTTTTTTTTTTAAGACAGGATCTCGCTAAGTTGATAAATTGCCAGGTCTAGGCTTGAACTTGAGGTCCTGCTTCAGCCACCCTGAGTACTGGGAGATCCATGTATCTTGAGAGAAGGGATGCTTCAGCTGGGCAACAACTTAGAAATTGCCATGAGGGGGATGAAGGGCAGGGTGCTGGATGAAGTCATTTAATTTTTTGGAGACCGGGTCTCATTGTGTAGGTAGGCTGGTCTTGAAGTCACAGCGATCCTCCTGCCTCAGCCTCCCAAATGCTAGGATTACGGGCATGCGCCACCACACCTGGCCATTTAACTTTTCAAATGCTGTTTTTTCTTCCGCGCCTAATAGCAGCGTCCTTGTAGGGCAGTAGACAGGACTGAGTGAGACCCAGGGCATCGTGCTCATCAGAGGACCTGGCCCACAGTAAGTGCGCACCAGCTCGTAAGCCAGCTGTTGGATCCTGGAGAGATGAGCACTTGGAAGCAAGAGTCTTGAACAGACCCCAGAAGGTCATCGGAAACAACCCAAGTGTTTGAAAGAGGAAGCAGGAGAGGCCGGAGCGGGTGGCTCTCTTTGGTTTGACAGGGACAGAGTCTCAGCATGGTCGGAGAACCGAAGTCTGGAAAGCTCGCTGCATTTAATCATCTTGTACTTCTGTAATAAATTCCTTTTTACTTTCCTTTGGTGTTTGGCAAGACGGCCCACGGAGGTCAGTCTGCCCTCGCTGCACTAAGGCAAGCAAAAGGAGGGAAGAAGGGTGTGGGCAGATGGCAGCCAGGAAGGGGTAGTGCCAGGGCCAGGGGGGGACAACAGGAGCCTAGGCGAAGAAACCCAAGGTGAGCCGGGGGCTGGCGTGGATGGGAAGGGGGGGCAGCTCTCCTTCGCCCCCTTCTACAATCCTGGTGTAGCTGGAGGCCGGAGAACACCAGTGGTTCGAACCAATTCTACCCACAGGTGCTGGTGCCACCAGCTGGTTCCTCAAGGCAGATGACAACATTTTTTGTTGTTGTTGTTGTTTTCCGGTACCGGGAATCGAACTCAAGACCTTGCACTTGCCAGGCAGCCTCTGTGCCGCTGAGCTGAACCCCCAGCCCCAGATGACGTTTGATGGTTGTGCCCAATCTGTACTGGCTGCTTGCCTAGCACCACCCAAGTGTCCTGGGCAGGCACTTTGAGCTGCACCCAAGAAATGGGGCTGGCAGTGTCTCTGAGCAGTGCTGCGGCTCAGCTGTGGTGAGCACGGTGATGCCAGCGCTGGGCCGGCATGCAGCTGGCGAACATGCAGCCCGCTGGGGGCCTCTGCCAGGAGATGGCCCACCCCTGCCCTCCCTGCCACCTGAGCCAGAAGGCATTCCATTCTCTCTTCTGGTACCTGGTGCTCAAGGGGAGCAAACTGGCTTAGCGCAGCCCTCCCTAGGGATGGCACACCTACCAGATAGCCTGTGAGCAGGTAGTGTGGGGACTATAAGTAAACAGATGCCACCCAGAGCAAGTGCCCAAAGCCTCTAGCTAGCGAGTGGAGGGCCAGGTTTCAATAGCAGATGTTTGGGTTCCTAACCCCAGTGACCTCATCTTCTCACCCTGGCCCCAGAGGCCTGTCCGCTCCTGCACACCACACCCCAACCCTTTCCCCAAACTGGAGCCATCTTGCAAGTACGATTTCTCTGCCCCCAGGACCCTCCACCTGTCCACCTATGTCCGTCATATGAATCCTTGTACAAAGCGGACCCACCTCCACGCCCGTGGGTACTGCCTTGCCACCGGCCCGGCGGGAGGCACCTCGGCCTGGCCTACCCCCACCTCCACCAAGGCTGTACCCTGACCTGCCTCTTCCAGAACAGACCAGCAGCTCACCTCCTAGACAAAATCACTTCCTCTTTAATTGCTGTTGAAGATTCACACCGCCTGCTTCTGAGGAAACGAGAGGGGCATCCCCTCTGCCCCCACCCTACTTCCCTCCCAATTACCTGGTCTTTTGCAAAATACTTTAGCCAGAAAAAAAAAAAAAAAAAGAAGAAGAAGAAGACCGGAAACCACTGACACAGACGGCCCAAGGGCTGGGTTGGCTGAGGGAGGCGCAGCTGGGCCAGGTTAAGTCCACCCCACCACCCCCTGCCGGGGGCCAGGGAACTTGGGAAACGCAGCCGCTGCACGCCCTCAGCCCCGGCTAGGAGGGAGCGCGAGGTTGCGGAAGGGTCTGGAGCTGCTCCAGCGGGAGGGAGGGGCTGGACGGGAAGAAGTAATGGGGGAGGGGTCCCACTGGCGGGGTGCCCCCTACCCCAGGTCACCACGGGCGCGGCACAGTCACAGGTACGCAGTCACAGGCACAGACACAACCCGAGAGCACCCCCGCCCCGCCCCACCCGCTGCCCACCCTTGGCTTCCCCTATCCCGAAACACCCTCCCCACACCCCTGCCCACCCCACCCCCATGTCGGGGACAAAGCAATAAATTACAAGGCCCTTTCCCAGCCCCGTGAGCCTGCTCCCGCTCCGGCCCTTCTCCCTCCCAAGATGGCAGAGGAGGGACCCAGGCTCCTGGCTGCCCGTGGTCCTTTAGCTTCCATCCATGGGTAGGTGTAGGGGAACATCCTGATTTCCACTACTCTTGGTCCCTTTCACGGAAAGGGTTAGGGGCGCCCCCACCTCCATGGGCAGCAGGGGTCCTGCCCCTCGCTGTCCTTCTCCCCTTCACAGGGCAGTGAATCAGCACGGAAGGGGTGCGGGCCCCTAGGGGCCCCAAGTCCCGGGGCTAGCCCCCCACGTACCAACCCCTCCCTCTGGCGTGGCGTCGCCCCAGGAGCCAGCCTGGGTTTGGGCTCCCGCCGCGGGGCCGTCGAGCGGAGGCAGGACTGGGTCTCTTTCCAGCCTCTAGGGGCGCGCGCGAGCGGGCAAGTCCCGGCGCCCGGGACCGCGGCGGGGGCGTCCCTTGTGCAAACACCGGGCGGGCGGGCGGGCACACCCGGAGCAATCCGAGCGTGGAGGCAGTGGAGAGGGGGCGTGTCGAGCTGGGGTCTCCATGCCTCGCTGGGGAGGGGGAGGTGAGTTTGCGTCTTCGGGGGAGGCGTGGGGGCTGTGCTCGCGCGGGGGCAGGAGGTGCTCCCGTGGGGCGGAGTGCGCGCCGCAGAGGTGAGTGGGTGCCTCCGTCCGGCGGTCCCCGCGGAGTGGTCGTGCCCGGCCCGCGCGGGGGTGGGGGTGTCTCTCGCGCTGCCGGGCAACTATACCAGCGCG